GAGTACGTGGGTTTTGTGTACCAGTCAGTAGAAACATAGCCGTCAGTGTTTTTTATTATTAAGAGGTCTAAGAATGGGAGTGAATTTTAACTTCTTTGTCATGGCTAAGAATAAGCAGAAGGTCATCGACATGTTTTTTGATGAAAATGTCTTGATGGAATGAAGGGATAACAGAGTCTAGAAGGTCGTTAAGAACTATATTGGAAATATCTGGTGTTAAAGAATTTCCCTTGGCTTGGCCTGAAATCTGATTAAAGAATTTTTCTTGGTAGGTGAGCTATCCGGATCTGCAACAAAGCTCAAGGGATTCAAAGTATGAGGAGAGGTTGAGGGTGGTGTGAATTTTTGGGAGTCCATATAAGCGTGGAGCTAAGGAGTTTTAGGATATGAGGTTGTGGTAAGTGGTACGGTTAATTTATTTGGTCTCAAGTAAGTTACTTAGGTAACTAACCTCACACCACCCTCTACCTCTCCCCATAGCTTGAATCCCTTGAACTTTTCCAATATATATTTCCAATATAGTTCTTAACGACCTTCTAGACTCTGTTATCCCTTCTTTCCATCAAGACATCATTTTCATCAAAAAAATATGTCGATGACCTCCTCCTTGTTCTTAACCCTGACAACATTCCACAAAATCTTTCCTCATTCAACTCTTACCACCCCCGTCTTCTTTTCACTATAGAGAGTTAACAATGCACTCCCCTTCTTAGACCTCCTAATAATAAAAAAAACTGACGGCTATGTTTCTACTGACTGGTATACTAAACCTACGTACTCAAACAGACTACTTAACTTTTATTGTCAACACCCATACCACCAAAAACCTTATTCACCAATCTCTCTCTATCTCTTTATATGATCAACAATATCATCAAGCCAACATTCAGCGTGTCAAAAATATTCTCCTTTCCAATAGTTTCCCTCTCAACATTATTCTTAAACTTCTAAACTGCTGTACAACCAAAAAGAGTACAACCTCCCCACAATCACCTACCACTTCTTTCATACACAAATCTCTCCCCTACATTCCTATTCTCTCAGATAATATACAAAAATTCCTAAAATCGACTATAATGAACTTAAGTCTCATAAAAAACTTTCTTTTTTTTTTTTTCACCATCTTGAAGGATCCCATACTTTTACAACACCGATCTAATGTAGTTTACCAGATACCTTGCTTCAGTCCTAATTGTAATAGCTCCTGTATTGGCGAAACCAAAAACCTCCCTCCAAACTATCAGAACATACCTTCCTTTAGTTCAATACTCTATACTTTAGTTCAATATAAATTTAGAAGTTAAAGGATGGAACTTTTGTTGTCCATGTTGGGGCCACTGTGGAGGTTTTAATTTAAATTGGGGTTTCATATTTTTGTTCACCTTTTCACTCAGCTTTTCAGAAAAAAAAGTTTTAATTCGACCATGAATGAAATTTCAATTATAATTAAAATAACAAAAAAATAAAATAAAATAAATTAGAATCTGGAGGGTAAAGAGAAGTCGGACTCTTCCAAAACTAGTCCCTCTTCTTCTAAGTGACTGATTTTCAATGAGAGTTCTTCACTTATGAACAATTGAAGATGTGTAAAAATAGCGAGACTGGAGGATGATTGAGACCAAACAGATGAGGAAAAAAAAGTAACAATAAATGTTTGGAAAATTGACAGAAGTGGTTCCAGTTGCTGCCAGATAGGCTAGGAAGAGATGAAAAAATAAATTAAAAACTTGGGAGGCACAAAGAAATTGTGTGTATTTTACTTGTTTCATTTGAATAATAAAAAAATTAAGACTTTCGGAGGGACTCAGTTTCAATCCATACCATTTACTATGTCTGAAACTACGATTGCTCTGCAAGCACTAGCGGATCCAGGATTTAATTTAGGGGGAGGGACTTCAGCCCGAAAGTTTTTTTTTTCATAAAAATGACGATAATTATTTTGGAAAAAAAGAAAGAAACTAACTATCTATATGAAATGGTGTTTATGTGATTCCTCAAGTCATTTGAAATGTAATTATACGAACAATAATACTTTAAGAGATAATTTTTTGATATATTTTTTCATAAAGCATGATTATATTTTACCATTCTGGGGGAGGCTTCAACCTGAAAGCCCCCCTCCTCCTCCTCCCCCCCGTAGATCCGCCCGTGTCTGCAAGCATTGTTATATTGTCACACAACACTCCAGCCACTGAAGAAAAAAAAATTTAGAAAATATAAGTAAACACTAAAGCTTTTCTGATTTCTGCCTCAGAAGAACAATACCCGGAAAATAAAATCTAGTTTGATGTGGAAAATTATCCATAAAACAGAAAAATATTATATTATCAATATTGAAAGCAATCAAATATCTGTTTAGAATCTATTTTTCTCAAACAACGAAGTCATTCAACCGCAATGTGGCAATATAACGCCTGAGTAAACGTTATAAGGTGTTTAGCAATACAATGTTTTTCTTAAGTAAGAAGCAATACTTTAACGCTAAACAAATCCTTGAATTTTATTCCTTATTACGCTGCATGTAACCTGAAAGGCTTGCAATAAGAAATGGACGCAATGAGCGGCCACTTTCTCCTCCCTAAGATTGGCGTCAGCTTTGGATATAGTTGATAAGCTGTGACGGCCAAGGCTATTGGTCCCGATAACTGCTGTCGTCCGTCCGCTGGCTGCGGAAGTGATTCTAGCAGAACGTCTTTCTAAATTGACAGTTTCCCTATCTGGCTCATATTTCTATTTTTGTAAACAATGTTTCGCCGCTAATTATACAAACATCATTTCAACAAATCGTATTGAAATTGAAAAATACTTTCACCGAAAGAAATTAAATTTCGCGAACTATAAAAGACGTATACTAATTCTATATATCAATTCTTGATAGCCGATCATTTTCTGAAACATTTGTTTCAGATCAATCAAGTAACCTTCTAATAAATACAACAGCTAGGCTTAAAGGCTAAGGTGCCTCTAGTCAGTCGTAATACACATGTCCTTTAGTTAAGCTGTTTATTTCACAGTGTAATTTGAATTACACAGACTGAAAAGAATTATGAATGCCTTCGTAAGATTTGTCACAGGGGCCCTGAGGTATTCCCGTGTTTCGCACCACTATGCTGAATTAGGATGGCTCTTCCCTTCCTTCCGAAGACAATATTTCCTAGGCACATTCCTTTACCAAATAATCAATAGTCATCGTCCGTCCTACGCATACAATCTCCTACAATTCAAATCATCAATCCACACCCTCTCCACAAGATCTCGTCCTTCTGACCTTTACACTCCTTTCCACAGATCTGCATCATTTAAACATTCCTTCGTTGTCCGTTCCACCGCATTCTGGAATTCCATCCCACTAAAAATCCGCCATGCATCATCCTTTGCCACCTTTAAAACCCTCTTATTCCAATTCCTCTTCACAATCCAATCAGATGCTGGTTAAATACATACTATGTTATAAGGATTTAATTTTCTTTAGACATTATTTTTTTCTCTTATTTTTTATTGTTTTATTCTGTGTTGAACGTGAATTTTCATCACCACTCACTAAGCATTGTGAGTAGATAAAATTTGTTTTCCTTAAGTTCTAATTTGTTATTCATGGAATGTATTTCAGTGAAATGTATTTTATTTCTAATTATCTTCAACATACTTCTCGCTATGTGTATATATATACTTTATTTTATTTTCTCTTCTTCTAATCTTTACGCATAATCACTTAAATATCTTAGGGAACATATGTATATCATTATTTGTTTTTTTATATATTTTTTTGTTTTAGTTTTTACAATTTCTTTCCCTACATATTAACAGTTATTATTATTTTTTTAAATTTTTATATTCCATCACTACAATGATTTACCTATAAAATAGATTGTACTTTCCTTTCTAATTTCATTCAGTGATTATTATGCAATTATTTTAGCTCCAATATTGTAGTACTGAATCCCTATTACCAAACTGTCCTCATTAATTAATACTTAATGTATTACATGTATTTTGTCATTATTCATTGTAATAAGTCTTTTGACCAGATTTGTAGTTAATATATATGTACAATACTGTTATTCTAAAGGGACCTAGTCCCAGAATAAAGATGATTTTTCTATTTCTATTTCTATTTCTAATTTAGGATGTGCCAGCTCGCTCTCTTCTAGACCCTAATTAGACCCTACATCCCAAGGAAATTTGGTTAGCTATGCCGCAGAATGGGAGAAATACAAAATAAATTAGGAGATTCTAGCAATATGGATTTTAGGTTCTATATATAATTTATAGTTATATTCATTTTTTCGTTATCTTGTGTAATTTCCTAGAAATCCGTCCACAAAATTCACTAATTTCGAAGAAAAAAAATAACCAGGCTATTCGATACAAAAGTGTCGAGGATGCAACGGCCGTAATGCAACTGTACCTGCTTTGTTTGCTTTGGTTTTTTTTTTACAACTTTTTTCTTGTTCTACTTCAATCTATTATTTCAGTCCTAAGAAAGACTGAAACGTCTTTATGAATTAAAACATGAATTAATGATACTGTTGCTGGCACTCATGGGGGGATCTATTCCAGGCAACTTGGTCCTTTTTACCAACTCCTACCGGCTATTTTGAGGATACTGCCACGTACTTACCAGAGTGGGGATGTCACGTATCATTTCCCGGGTTAGATGAGAAATAAATATCAACCACACCCAGATGGAAATTAAACCCATAACATTTACAACTTAATTTACAACCGCGCGTTCTGGGACCCACGCCCCAACTTTCTCGCCATCACATCTTCAATTAAACATTAATTAACAATCAAAAACATAGGTTGTCACCTAGGCAGGAATATTATTAAATTAATTTTAAAAAAATTATTCATTAATGTATTATATAACAATTATTTTTCTTTATCTCAATAATATTTATACCAAAAAAATCTTTCCCCATAGAAATGGCGTTTAATGGCTGTATCGAAATCTTGAGCAAGTTATGGGGGCATATGGGCCCTTTCTATTATTATACTGCCTGCTTTATCTCCTTTCCTCTGGAACCGATATCGAATCCCAAAGTGAAAGAGGTGGAGGAAGTGACTATTTTCCTCATCGCTCGTCCAGAAAGAGAGAACCGGCTAAAAGCAGACGATGGAGTTGGTGGCGGCTCAATCGGCTTTAGGCAATGAGGTCGTCTTCAATATTCCTGGCACTACTACTGGTAAGTAATAGAATTACTAAATATAAAGTAACGCATAGTGTGCATCAATCATTAATATTTTTTAAACTTATCATACCCAGATTCAAATGAATGTTAGTTAATGCTCATACAATAATTAATGATAATATTTTCTGAATAATCAATGTGTAAATGGTGTTTTGTATTGAAGTAGTTAATGAATCAGGCATGTTGGAGTTTTAAGAGAACCTCTTTCATTAACCTGCTGTATGTGATTAATAAGCACTAGACTAAACCATATAAATTATTATTCTTCCATTAATAAAGCAAAAAATAATTTAACAGCAATTGCGCATATATATATAAAATTTAAGGTCGATATCTTGATCAAAAGTTAGAGCAAGTTTTAGATGAATCTATAATTATTATAAAAAATCGTATTGAAGACATATTTGACACAAACATATTTAACATTCGATTAAAGATGGAAAATGATTTGAGTTACCTTATTCATTTTCGTCTAAAACTGGTGTTATTTGAACAGTGGTGTTCAGGTGTTATTAGGACTTATTCGCTAGGCGTCGAATTTACTAATAAAAGTCTTCTTCGAGCATAACTTTTAAGGTGACCCATAACAAAGTCCTTTTTTTTAGTTTATTTAATTACTATTATTATCTTCTTTTTTTTTTTTTTGCTGGCCAATGGTCAAATGGTCAAGGTAAGTAAAGATATATATATATCACTTCATATAAAATATCTACTTTAACAATAAATAGATGCTAAGTGAAAAGACTAATAATAATAATACAAACCCTATATAATAATATTAATTATATGATAAATTGCAATACCTTTTAAATAATGAAGCAGCTGTAAATATATAAATGTTACAATTATTTGCAAAATGGTGTAGGAAGGATTATTAAATGTATTCATATTGTTTTTTTCTAAAAATTTTTAATCTCTAAATGCTTCGGATTTTTGTTGCCTATTGTCAAAACCTACTAAATTGTTCTATATATTTTTATAGGTATATTGTTGTGAACGTTGGATTCATTATTTCCATATCCAACTTGTATTTTACAAATTTTTGATAATGTATCATATTATACTAGTTTAGATATAATATAGACAAAAATGTAAGGAATAATAACATATTCACTTCATTTGATTAACATCTGCAATATGATAGATTTGTAAGTTAAACATAGCAGTTTAATGAATAACGTATAAACATAGAAATAATGAATCCAGTGTTCACAATAAGATGAAAAAAAAATAAAAGTTAGTAGATTTTGAAAATGAATAGCGAAAACCCTAAACATTATGCGAATAGAGAATTTTAGAAAAAAATAATAATAATGAGTCTTCAAGCAGGATTAAACTTTATTAGTCATAATTATATTTATTGACTTACAGTAAGAATGGTATAAAAATTATAAATAAGAAAAATATACATATTTTAATGAAAATTCAATGAGGATAACAGAAAGCAGTAGAGGCTAAAGGAAGAAAATAAGTAAGCTATTAACCTAAGTAACCTCTGTCATAAAACTTTAAAAATAAATATAAATAGAATTTTGTGACCGAGACTACTGAAACCTATATCTTATTTATATAATTATAATATATATTATATATATATATATATATATATATATATATATATATATATATATATATATATATATATATATATATATATATATATATATGTATAATATTAATATCAGATATATTTTTAAATACAACATTTTTGGATTGAAAGGAATATAAATCTCATTTTAAATCTATTGGCATCCTCTCTATGCCAAAGGAGCCAAAAGTAATAAACATTGTAAAAAATAATAAAGGTGTAGAAGGAATAATAATAAACTAAGCAATGCGGTATTTTATTATTACGTTATTTTAAAACGTGGTTAAGTGAAACACTTTGTAAAGCCTCAAAGCATTATATACTCTGACACGTAAAGAAAATCTCATCGTGCTCAATTACTTCTGGCCATGTCCTAATGAAACTTGATGCCAGAATCATTGAGCGGAAGCAAGGCACTTCTTACAAGCGTTCCCATAGAAGTCCGAATCAGAGTTTCTTTGTGAAGTTGAAGCGTGAGCCCAGTCATCGTAACTGGAGCCTTTTCATCCTAGGGCCTAATTTATCTCTCGACAGTTACATATTACTTGTGTCAAGTTATCATACCAGAAGTAGTACGTTGCACAACTTCAAAACACGCAGAACATGATTCTTGTTAGAAGCTGTTAACTACTTTCCTGCCATTCAGTGGAGAACAATAATACCCAAATGATTGAACTCCTGAGAAAATTCCTATAAATTTTAAAATAATCTCATTAATTTAGATAATGACAAAGCCCTCTCTTACCTGTTCATCGTTATCTTCGTAGCAGAGGGTTGTTCGTTGAATACTCTTTCGTTAGAACTCTTTTAGAAATTTAATTTGTAGTTATTATTTTATTTTATCTATATCTTTACACACTTCTTTCATAATTTTATTTGTTTTCATTTATCAATTACTATTTTTATGCTATTGATATTGCTTGTTATAACTTTCCTACATATTTATACATTTACATTCTGTCTTAACATTCTTAATTCTTAGTTTATTTTTTAATTCTTGTTTCTTATCTTTTTTCCTTTCTATTCTATTTTTAATTTATTGCCATTTTGTTTTATACATTGTCATTGTGTATACATCTCTCAGACTGATCCGTTTTAATCTTCAGGATGACTCAGGCCATAATAAAATGTGCTTATTTTGTATAATAAAAACTTTGAAAGTTTTTTGAAATAAAAACTTCTTTAGACGCGTTTTGCACTTTTTTGTACAGAGTGGATTAGATTCCCGAAGTATTAACGCTCGGGTAAAGTCGGCTAGAGTCGAGTAATTGTAAAGTTTTTACATATGGATTACAATATCTCAGAAACTAAAAATATGTCCTGCATACTGTAAACGAGAAAATTTTTCAGTATTTCATCCTCTCTGTAATAGGCTATAATTCAAAATTGTATCTTAACACAATGCCATGCTAGCGAGCAGAAAAAGAAAAAATGGTGTCGAAAACAAAATGAAAACGAGGTTAATTGAACATATGGATTTAAATATTTCAGATACTGAAAATCGGACCTATATACTATAAGGGAGGGAAGTGTTCAGGATTTCGTTTTCTTTGCAATGAGCTATTATTTGTAATTTATATTTCACAGTATTAATCTTGCCTTTTTATTGTTTTCACTGATATCGTATGGTCTAAAGCACACACCTTAGTTTTTGATTTAACTTTGACATATTTCCTGCTCAGTAATTTTTAATAAAACCAATCAAAGTATTATTTAACCATACAATTTTCCGATTAATAAAAACATATATATTGAATTTCATATTAATATAAGCATCAATTAATGATACAAAATCTCAAACTTTTTTGTTTACTTATTTTTAAGTAGAAGATAAATAAAAAATAAAGGCTGTAGATTTCCATTATGCAATGGGAATAATGAACAAAAAAAACTGTACCGCAACAACCTGTGAAGAATGTTGCATTCAGTAACTATTAAGGAAGTATTGTTTTCGGTCTATGGTTGTGTATGCAAAAAGGTGTATTGATTAACATCACGCTAAGCCATCAGGTTTTTCCTCTTAATTAATTATTTGATTAAGATAACCTACTTCATAGAGCCTAAATGTGTCCCAAGAGTGTCTACCGACACGAGGATCGAACCACGGCTGATGAAAAAGAATAAACCATTAAATTACCATTAGATGGATTCCAACACGGGACCATGAGCTCAGGAAATTAGTGACTTGCCCATTGAGCTACTCCGCTCCTATCATATTAGTTAGAATTACCATTATATATATATATATATATATATATATATATATATATATATATATATACACATCAAGAACAATTTAAAAAAATCTCCCGATCCCAGGATGAATCCTCGGCTGAAATACTAGTCATACTGAAATACCTGTCACAGCGGGACTCGAACCTGGGACTTTGGGTATAAAATATGTGTTTATTAATGATAATTTATAACTAAAGACTTAATAATAACTGTTTGTAGACTACTGAAAAACAAAACAAAAGCATTAAGTTATCATTTGAATGGACCAGCAATCTGCCATTATTCTATAATGTGAAAATCGAAAAATGGCGTCTATTGCATTTTTCAGGTAGTTAAGAAGTCAGGTTGGACAATCCACGGTAACGATTGGAAGAAGACAAGGACAAGGTATTATCTGCGTGTATTTTAGTGAATAGTTTCCCCAACGGATAATCCAGCGTGGTGAGGTTGCCAAATTTATTAACGATTGGCAGAGGGACTGGTTGCTCAAGAAGCGACTACTCGACCTGAAACTATTTACGGTAAATAAGTCACAGGATCCGCCCTTTACCTTCAATTTGGTTCTCGCCTTTCCTCTTCGGGGGGAGGCGACAAACAAATTGTTTTTTGTTACCCTTAGGAAATGGGCTAGCAATAGGGACAAGGTCTTTGTAACTGTCTTTCGCGTTAGTTTTCACGTAAATTATGCGGTTAAGATGTTGTGGAAACATCAGGACGAATGGATTTGCCATTGAGCACAATACGTATCACTGATATAGGTTGTTTTATAATCAAACATAATAATCTCTGATGATTTAATTTAGTAGTTAATTATTGTTTCGGTGGAATCTTCGTGGATCTGTTATAAGCAGTAATTTAAAAAAAAATACTTTTCAATATTTTATGAAAAAAAAAATCTGGCCAGCTGTACATTTAAGGCTTACGCACACAGATAGCGAAGTATGAATGGGTGTGAAATGTAGAATTTTTTATATTATTACGTTTATTAATGTGCCACAAATATTTTTGAAAATAAAATATTTACAAACATAGCCATTAGTCTTTCTAGTTCCTGCTGCAGCCAACAGGGAGAGAGCTTGAGAACGTTGTTTTTTATTGCTTACATGGACGAAATGTTAAAAATGTGTAAGAGAAGAACACCAACAAATCTGATCAATTACAGAAATCTGAA